AACATAGGCATCTTATTACAGGAGACTGTTTAAGATTGCATGACATTGATGGATGGTTGTTTTTAGTGCAGTAGCAAATTAAATGCATATCAGGATGTTAACATGTTTATGTGATATAATTTTGTACCGACGTTTTTAACATGCTAGTTCACAGTCCACAGGACGGCATCTCACCATACTCAGACACATAACTCCTACATACCATGTGCTTACAGTACTAATTTTCAACTCTTTTGGTTTGACAGAACAGGTATTAAACCATAGGCCTCCCTCACTTGATGATTGTAAACATGCTTACACAAGGCCACTGAGGTGGTGAAATGTTGATAAACTGGTCAGTAAATTTACAAGACAAAAATCACCAGCAACTTTATGCTAGTCATTCATTTTTTATTTGTAGCAAGTACAAATCTCAAACCACAAAAAAATCAAAAGTTTACTGAGATTTTCAAGTTTTTAATCTCAAAGGAGTAGTATTAGGATTTGAACATGTTGAAACTAAAAACTGAACTATGACATATCTGAACAGCACTAAAAACTGAACTATGTCATATCTGAACAGCACTTAAAAATGAACTATTTCATATCCGAACAGCACTAAAAACTGAATTATGTCATATCATAACAGCACTAAAAACTGAACTATGTCATATCCTAACAGCACTAAAAACTGAACTATGTCATATCTGAACAACACTAATAACTGAACTATGTCATATCTGAACAGCACTAAAAACTGAACTATGTCATATCCTAACAGCACTAAAAACTGAACTATGTCATATCCTAACAGCACTAAAAACTGAACTATGTCATACCTTAACAACACTAATAACTGAACTATGTCATATCTGAACAGCACTGAAAACTGAACTATGTCATATCCAAACAGCACTAAAAACTAAACTATGTCATATCCTAACAGCACTAAAAACTAAACTGTGTCATTTCCGAATATGTTATATCCCAACAGCACTAAAAACTAAACTATGTCATATCCAAAAAGCATCAAAAACTGAACTATGTCATATCAGAACAAAACTAAAAATTGAGCTACGTCACATCCATATAACAAGATAAATTTACATATTCTTGAACAAATCCAACACATTATATACATATTCAGTTCACAATGACGAGTCAGTTTAGGCCCCAAAAAAAATATATATGTCTGTTTAAGGGGTTTTTTATGGGACATAATTTTGAGTCGTGCAGTCAGTCTTGCCGTGGTCTGAGTTGTTCATCGGCCGAGCTTACCCGTATTTTTAATGATTGGATTATCTCCCTTGGTTATTGGTTGGAAAAAATGGCGGCAAAATGTTTATTTCATCACACGAGGTGAGTTTCCTTAAAACAGCTGCCATATTCATGATTGTGAACATTAAGATGTATCAGGCAATTGATTTATTTTATTGGCAACTATAACTTCGATTTTGACACAAGTTCAATTAATTTTTCACTTAACGACAGAAATAAAATAAATTAGGGTCGGTGCTCAAAAGTAGGGTCGGTCCGTAAATTAAACAGACATATATTTTTTTGGGGGCCTTAGACAGTGCTAATAACTTCCATATATGAAATTCCAGCTGTTTTAATGACTTTTCAAAAACTGGTATTTGTGGAATAGTTTACCTGAAGTGTTCTCAAGTTATTGCATGGAAACAACAAAGTTCCAATTTCCAATCAATCAATGACCCTAATTTGTAAATGGCAAAAGTGTAAATGGCCAAAATTCGAAAATAACCTTTATTTTATTATAAGAAACAGCATTCTAAAATTTATAAAGCTTTGGCTAAGCAGTACTTAAGGTCATTTCAAAGAAACCGCTAGAGCAGCCTTCACACCCTCAATACTACCCCCAAATCAATAACTGATTTATGTCATATACATTGTATCTTGGTTAATAAAAAAACATTCATTAATACTTTTCCTGGTCAGTAGACACTCAATATGATTTTCCGATTTTTAATTAACAAGACCTATAATCTTGATCAGTAATTAAACCTTACCTTAACTATTTGGTTCGTTTCTATATTTCAATTAACCAAGAAAAATCAGAACCCAAATCCTTCACTTATTATTCAAAAATTTGTCTATCTTCAATTTCATTGAATAACAGTGTCTTTTTTACGATCAATACAACGAAAGTGCAAAAAATTGATGAATTGTCGAGAATGATTAATAATAATAATCATATAGGCCATGCAAGGATATAAAATATCAAAACTTGACGTCACAAATAGTATTTTTGTATATGTAATATCTGAGCAATGTATTTTGAGACATGAACTTTCATTTTAATGACTCTTCATTAATAACTTAAATCTTAACTATCAGGTTTCATTTCTTCTCTTCCATTTTTTTTTATCCATTTAAGTGACAGAATGTACTTTATCATTAGTGAGTTTACTAGCTTGAATATGGGGGGAAATTAACTATATTTCCAACAGAAGTTTTTCTTTCTTAACTCAAGATTACGATTAACATTTTCTAGAAATCTCCAAATATGAAATCAGAAGTCTGTCAGACTCACAGGTATGATATAAAAAAAAATACATCTTCTTATATCTATTATATATTGTAGAACATTCTATTGAAATGAGAAATCCAAAAATTACCAGAGAAAACTTTGTAATATTTACACAATGTAGTACCCACAACTGCAAAAACCATTTGGTTCTTAAAATTGACCTACATACTTAAAACTTTCCACCTTAGGAATAGATCGATGATTAATCTTCAATCAAAGTCAATTAGAAGTTGGTTTTTTTTGTCGATATAACGACTTAAAAAGGATGTCCTGAATAAAATCAATACTATGGCAATGGGTGGTGAGTTTATATATAATAAAAATAGTACAAGAAACTTAATTTTAATTTTTTTTCCCCATTTGAAAGTGTTTTTTTATGATGTAGTTTTGAATAAATCTACAAATGTTCTAAAATACACAAACTGGATTTACTATGTGATCTTTCATCTTTTAAATATGAAATAGTATTTTTTCTTGACTAGATATTTAAGGGCAATCACTTCTGAACAGCTGAAAACAACCATCTACTACAATTCTCTTTCCCATTCTTAAGGACCATAACTCCTGAAGGTATCAATTATCATGGAGTTAGACAGATCATAATGAAACTTAACTTGGCTTGAACTAGCTTCCTCTCCAGAAACTGAGAAACGCCTTGATAGGCATCTTGTGTGTTTTAGTTTTTGCTGTATAGTTGTTTATTTACAATCATTCCACAACTTATATTATTTTATAGTTGTTTATTTACAATCATTCCACAACTTATATTATTTCTATATTGGTCTATATTTTTATGGTTTATTGTCATATAAAAAAATAACCTGACTTTCTTGTCTATAATTAGTCAGAGAATTGAGTGTTGACGGTAGATCAATGATCGTTTCTTTTTCATTTATTTACTAGATTGGGGTCATTAAAGAACCTAATATATTAAATAGATAAGTTCCGTCTATTGTTGAAGGTTTGTAGTATGTTGACTTCTAGAAATATTTTGGTTATTTGTATGGTTGGGTTTAGGACTCATTGGACTATACCCTAATCTCTTTTTATACAAATTTTCATCAAAACCTATAACACTTATCATCCAGAAACCACCAAATTTGCTGATTACCCTATTCCCAAGGGACATAACTCCTCATAAGTATCAGCCAAACTCCCAATAGATTTAATGGGACTAGTGCTGTATCTTTTAGTCAATATTACTATAGCTAAAATGAATAGAATAGCTGGGGATAATTATAAGCTAAAATCTAGTGTTTGTAGTGATAGCAATCGATCAAAGGTGGCTCAACAGTAGCAATTTACCCAAAGAGGAACGCTTCACATCAATATTTTCTTCCAGAAGTCAATGATGATCACCAGAAGTTGAACATAACTGACTTGTTTGCTCACTTTCTAGAATAGACCTTGAGTTGAAAGAAAACTATGAAGACTTTCTAAAAATTTACATTTTCCCACCATAACTAAACATAGATATGTCTAACAATGGCAAAATAAAAAAGAAAAATTTTTTCTTTGTAATTTTGATCATCAAAAGAGGTAACAGCTACTATATGTACTACACTTACACAAATGTACTGCTAATAAATGCATTTGATTTTACAAGAAAAAACTACCGCTGCCATCATCAAAACCAGATGCGTCAATTTCAGAGCTGTTGCAAGTGAAATCAACAAGCCATTAAGTAATAAATTTACAAGCTTTGTATAAACATTTGTAAAAAATTTGGTACAAAATTGGTTTTAGTTTTGTCTTTTACATATATGTCTTTTCTTTTCAATTATACCTGCTAGGCTAAACTGCTAAAATTAACAATCTGATAACGTCGCCACAACAAAAATGCTCAGGCTACCACACATTTAGTGAAATTATTAACAAATATTATAATTAGGAATAATTGAAACTGACAATGCTTAGTCAACTATCTATTTTATCAAATGATTTGATATAAGTATAAATATAGTACTCTCTAGTCAGTTTTCTTCATCCAATAGGTCATCCTTAGGTCAATCTTTCCAGCCTTCCTTTGTTCAATAATATTTCAAAGACAAAACTACAGCTTTTTACTGCTTAATTCAATGTCTTTTCTTTGTTTTCAATATTCATTTCATAAAGTAAACAGTAAGGTAACTTAACAGTGTTACTGTAATATAACTTTTTTGTATGTGATATTTCCCTGAAAACAGCCAACTTTAAAGCTTGCCACTTAATTTGACAATTGGAACAACCAAGTATGTATAAAGCATTAAAGAATTTGCCATGTGACTTTAGCATACACTGATAAAACATGCAACAACTTACTTATTTTCCTTGCTAAATATGATTCCAACACTTATATTCAAGTCGTAATTTTAAAACAAAATTTTTTAAATTGAGTATATCATTAGAGTATCACGAGTATACAAACAAACAGTTAATTTTTTTGCAAATACCCAAACAAATACTGTAATTTTACCAACTTGGTACTCACCTATGTGAAAATGTTGTACAATGCTGGTCTTGTCATCTTCCTACAAAAAAATCAAAGACATCATACCATTACAAACATACATATTTGAACATCATTCTTTATACCCTTATCAATATTTATAGGTCTGCAAAATGTGAATGCTCTGTACATGTAAATAAGGAACTAGAATATATCAATTTTCCAGACACACCTGTCAGTTAAAGATTAGCCCCATGTAAGCCTTAAAGTTTGTCAACCTCCTGACAATCGCATTCTTGTTTAAGGTTAAGTTTTCTATTGAGAATAACCTAATAAGTAAAACAGCTTAAAAATTCATTTTATTATAGCTGTCTCATCTTACATCCTGCTTTTAAAAATTCAGATAAATAGCACTCATTAAAAATATCAATTCCATCTTTTTTTTGCAAAGCTTTTTGTTTTTGTACCTTCATTTCTATTCACAGTAAGAACATGGCATGATAAATGACCAAGTTGAAATCATGATCACCTGATCAAATCACCTGATCAGACCATTATGGTAATGTAGTTGTTGTAGTTGTTGTAGTGTTAGGAGAAATATCTTGACACCTATTAAAGACCTTTAAACAGATACTTGATGTGATTATAAAGTTTGGTAAAGATTAGATGTCTGACTACAGATTAAAATCAAATTTCCCAAAATCTAATTGGAAATGAAAGAAAATGTTTTAAAAATATGCATTAAAAGCTGGTTTTCGTCATGAGATTCTAGAAGGTCTTGGAGTTTTGTAATAAATAACTCAACCCCTACAGCAAGATCAGGAGGGGCTCCAAAATTTATGTCTGTTTACAGTTGTTATGACTTGGAACTTTGAGCTAGTAATATCTCAAAAATCAAAAGACATCTTCCTATCCATTCATTATCATACCCCACTTATCCTACCCCAGATTTGTTTTGTAATTCTTCATGTAATGAAACAACTATCCATTTAAGACCAATGGACAAAGACAATAACAAGTTACAGTTTTTGCACAGCCTTCAACAATGAGAAAAACCTATACAGTCTAGTAGGCTATAAAAGTCCCAGGGTGCTTTGTATCTTTCATCTTTCTGAAGAGTAAAGCCTTATTTGTCAATATTTTACACCTCCCTAATGCTAAGTATAAAGCTATCAACAAATATAATGCCTACCCATGTTAACATGAGCATAGAGCATGACAGAAAGGAATTATTTCTTAAAAAAATATACATCACTTTTGTTGAGAAATTTACAAAAGATACTGACAATTACAGAGAGGAAAGTTTGAGGTAGACATGTTTATATGGGAGGAAGTCCAGAAGCAACTTTGACATAAAACAAGTACTACTGTCAAATATTTTTTTTCATATTTCTATCTTTTTTTGCTAAAAACACAAAACAGCTTGTCAAAAGGGTTCAATTATACAAGTGTAAAATTCCCAAAACATTTTTCAAAGAAACATTGTGGGGTTGCTTTGAAACTGCTCTACTGTTATTAAATTGCTATATGTATAAAAAGTAGCAATAATCTTCATGATACTTATTTGTTCTAACTTCTTCATTAATTTTATAAATGGAAAAAATATGATGATTGGCAATGGTATTAATGCAATACTGATTAGTTGACAAAACCTTATATATGTCAGTGCAACATGTTTTACAAATTGAATTTGAAACATTTTAGACTGTTTATACATGTAAATGAGCCTGATGTAGGGAAGAGGGACCATAGGTACTTGTTGACAGGATTGCCCTCCCTTTTTTTGGTTTAAGTAAGAACAAAATCATATGCCATTTGATCACTTATTCTTCTGTCTCCAGTAGTATTGTTCAAACTTTTCAGAAGACAACCCTCTCCTCCACTCTTCTGAGATTTAAGGAAGAAAATCAATTCCATGTCATTTAGCATGTATACCTTATCAAAGAATTTGGTGATGACAACAGAACTATTCTGAGCTTGCTAATGTTTGTAAACAGAAAAATTAACTGAAATTATTGTGACATTGGATGATTGATCAAATTAAGGCAGACAATTTCACCACTTGCTACAATGATGTCACTGCAGACCACTCAAAATTGCACTTTGTCACACACATACAACATATATAACATGCATTTAGAAAGCATCAATAAATATTGATGTAAAATAATCTGTTACCTATGTCAACAAGAAGCATCACTTACAGGCAGATGTGAAACAATGCCATTCCTCTATTGTTACTTTCTACACTATAATCACAATTTCCTGAATTTAAAAATCCTTGTTGGCGGTCAATATATAATTACGAGTTGATAAAACATGCTGTTCTCTCCACCTTTCTTCTCCAACTGAAATAAAGACAACATTGTATTGATTCTTTGCACAGAGATTATCGCTTCAGGCCCTTTTATAAATTCACTATTTGTATTTGATTACACTTTTAATTAAAACACGGCAATACATTTGTTTGACTGATTCTAACACCTAATGCATGTTTATTCAACATTGTATAAATGGTAAACATTGAAGTTTGTTTGTTTTTTTTTATTTCAAATATGTTGATTCTGTCAAAACAATGAAGGCCATTTAAATGAATGTGTGATGTGGGTGTATAAAATTATCTTGGGAATAAATATTTATCCCTTTTTACCCTAAGAGTTTAAGTATTATACTTATTAGTATTTTGTTTATAATCACAACGCACTTCTACTCAGCATGATTTTCTGTCTCCATAATATGCCCACAATTCATTTTAGACCACATTTCTTTCCCTTTTTGTCTGTTTGTTAATTTTCTGCTATTCTTCATTTATATATCTAAGACCAAGATAATACTAAGGGCTGTTTTTGGCTAAGAAACAAAGGTAGTTAGTTGGTCAATGTATACAGACACAACAAAGTGGTTTTTAGGATTTTAATACCTCTTTTGTATATATCATGACAATTTAATCATTTCCACTGCTTGCCACTGTGGCAAGCAATAATGATTCCTTGCTGCAGATTGAAAATGTCACTGGGGCGATTAGTGGTACTTTGGTGGATAGTTGTCTCATTGGCAATCATACTAGAGGGTCTGGATGGGGTTTACAGAATAGAGAATACTGGGCCAATTCAATAGAAAAATGGAAAAAAAAAAAATACAGAATTAAAGCCCAAAAAATTAAGAAAAGCGAAAAAATAGGTCCAAATAAATGGAGAATGTGTCCATGAGACACAGATGATGCCCCGCTTGCATATATAACGTTATATAGGGACATAACTCAAAAATGGTAAAAGTGACGCCAACCAAATTCGAACTTGATTTGAGTTTTTTGTGGTAATAAGCATTGTGTATAAATTTCATAACATTTGGTTGAGGCAAACTTGTTAGATAAGAAACTAATTTTGGGACGTACATATGGACAGACGTACATATGTAGGTAAATGTACGTACGGATGGACGTACAGATGGACAAGGGTAACACTTATGCCCCCTCAGCTGCAGCAGGGCATAAAAATAAAGAATAGCGAGTAATGGGCAAAATTAATATAGAATAGAGAAAAAAAGGCTTAAAAAGAATTAAAGAATACGAAACTGAAACCCACCCCCCTTCCCCCTCTAGGCCCTCAAACCACATCTAATTTTCATACTGGTATTGATTTAATTGATGAACATACACATGTACAGAAAATATATACTGTCATATATATATACATGTATATACACAAGTCTAAATTGAAAACAACGTTCAAACCTATGATTGCGTTGGATAAAAACAGCAATTTTTATACGTGTGCATGCAAAACAAATTTCTTGTTAGAGGGGTCTAAATACAGCACAAACTACATTTTCCAAAAGACCAAAAAAGTGAAAAAGTATATTTTAACAAAACGCATTTGACTAACAGGTCGAACAACTGATGTTCTTAAACCATGCTGACTGCCATTGGCCATTGCCAAATAAATGGATCACTGATGTAATAAATGGATCTTAATTGTAAAATTTAATACTAAACAGAAAACAATAAACTTGCGGAAAAGATGGTATACCGCAAACAAAAGGTGCAAAGGTTTTTGTACACCATATCCGGATTTCGACAATTAATGTCTCTTCAGTGTTGTTAAGAATCGAAACGGTATTTGGAAAGCCATCCAATTTACCTCAATTTAGGATAGACTCTTGAATTTTGAGGAGTCAAAATAGGATGAACGGATCATATAAACCCGAAGGCAAATATAATACAAGCCCAAACGAAAAAATATAAACAAGTCTAAATTGAATACAACGTTCAAACCTATGATTTCGTTGGATAAAAATATACATATATAGTGGTAACCAACTATCTGTTGGGGCAAACAGCTATAATATAATGGGATGTTACTAACATCTTAAACAGTCAATAGATCATTACAATAGTTTATAGTTTGAAATCATAATCCACTATGCTAGGTCTATACATCTGGTTATCTCCTCAGCCCACAAATACTTCTGGTAATTTGCACTTTAGTGGACATGTGGAATTATCTTGTCTGCTTAAATGACAATAACTAATGGTGAATATATTGATAGTCTTTGAAATAAAGATCTTACTACATGCATCAATAAAGCTTATAAATGTTGATCAATGAATGAGACCTTAAAAAAGTTCAAGGTCAATAAACACTGTCAGATAGACATGAAGTAAAGATCTATAGACAAAATTGTAATTAACCTAAATGAGAAACAGATCTAATCTTGAAAACTTTATTGTGACTCTTATATCACTCAAATAGGTAAACTAGGGGCTCTAAAGAGCCTGTGTAGCTCACCTAGGTGTAGGTGCATTTTCAACAATTGACACTCTCCAACATTGTAGACTAGAAATTAGTCTAGAATAGAATTGAGGGTGGTAAAGGGTTATTTTCGTGCAACGTGTTTTGCCATTTTTATTTCACGCGCAGCCGTGAAAAAGGATCATTATTCACCCTGTTTCGTGAAATCGGTAAAAAGATCAACGTGCAAGAAATTTTTAATTGTTTTCATCGTGAAATGGCAATTTTATTTTGCGTTCTCCCGTACAGATACCCCCCCCTTTACGCCCATCAGAATTCATGACCAAAATATCCTGTTTATCTTGTATTGATGATCATTTTTTTCTTTTTACAGTTTCTATTTGCTTTAGTTATTTGCCCATAACAAAAAAGGGTTAACAAATTGTCATTAAAAGGCAATCACTCCTACAAAGAGTCTACTAACTCTTTCAGCAAAATTTGCTTATAATAATTAAACATAATATAAAAAGGCTTATGATAATTTTGTACGCCAGATAAGCATTTCTTCTACAAAAGACTCAAAAAAGTTTATGAAGTATGCAAGTAGTTTATACAATTGTAGTGACAGATTGTTCATGTCACTAAGGCAAAAAGTTTGCAAAATAACTGCTGCTACTGGAATAATATACCCATGTCATGCATTCTGCAACTGCTGTTGAAAAACTTAAGGATGTTCGCTACTCTGTTTCAAAATAACAAGCTTTTTAAAAGACTGATATAAATTGATAGTATATAAATAAAGAAAAAAGTGAAGGGTCCGTGTGCTTGTTTTCAAGATATAAGCCATTGAAAATTTGGCGGGAAATAATTCTCTCTAGATTTTTCATACATTTAACATTTGCACCTTTTTTCTTTCAAAAACGATGAAAAAATAACAAGGATTTTATAAGATTTACAAAGATGACATTTTAAACTATATGTAATATAAAAATTATATAATATGTTGACATAATTATGGAAAGAAAAGTAGGGGTTAATGGGCAAATTTTTTTAATTGCACTACATGGGTAAAACCAGAGGATTCCGAACATCTGACAAAAATTCAAAAACCCAGAGGAGCAATCATCCTTAAGACAAGGGGAAGTCAATCTACTGACTATCTAATAAACTAATAAAGTTATCCAACATGATAAGTAGTTTACTGTGAAAATTCACATTCATAAAGACTGATATGAAATGGATAAATGAATACCGGAGTAGTCAAATTTTAATTCCTGTTTCCAATTCTGAAATGTTTGGCAAAGGGAGCAACTCTGAAGTAGGACAGGGTACCCGATCAATGAACACTTGTGGAAGAAGCATGTCTTGATGTTCATCTTTAAGCATCTGCAGCAAAACACCCATGTTACAATGATATACAATGTACATGTACAGGTGGAATTTAAAGACATAAGAATCTGTATGTTAATAAATTAAATTGTTGGTCCGTGACATCGTGTTCACATTTTTAAAGATTTGTTCCATTTGTACATTAATCATCACAGCAAACTAAATTTTTGAGGGAGTTATAAACAGACATGGGCATTACTAAATACACACTTTTAGGTGGGGGTATAAAAAATAAGAAAAGATAACTAACTGACTGGGTTTTCATTAATAATACAGTAAAATACCAATAAAACAGTTTAAAATCTTATGTAAAACTCATCTCCATAGACCTTGAAGGAGGAGGTGGGTCTTTTAAGGTAATTTCTTTTTTCACTTGCATGAAAATCCTACAGAAAAAAAAACAAAATTTAAGAAGCAGATGGACTTATAAAAACTTTTTTCTGCTTGGAAATGTTTTTGATGAATACAAAAGATGTTCTTGCCATAAAAATATACCTTCCCCCTTATTACCAAACCATTTTTCTCCTTCTATACTGTAATTTCAAGTAAAAGTACATTTAAATCCGTGTTAATATGCCCTGCTTAAGTAAGGTTTAGCTTCTGTTCAATAAAACAATCAAAACTATATTTCTTTTGTTTGCTTAAGGTTTTGTGGAAAGTTTTCAACTAAAATCAATACACTTGTGGGTAAAAACCAATATTTACAAACATCTAAAAGTAAAATTACTGTCCAGAACTGATCAGACTTAAAGTAAAGGTCAAATCAGGAATGACAATAAGACATTAAGTACATACACAAAACTCAATAAGGTGTCCTGGATTTCCAAAATCATTTCTTTAAACAAACTAACAAATACAATGCATAGTTATCGACTGCAGCAGCAGTTATTTTTAAAAATAGATTACATAAGCAGAGTTTCTTAAGGATATATTGTTTGAAATATTGGTATTGCAGATTAATGTTTTTTTGTTCTTTTTCAGTCTTTGAAAAATCGTATTGCTTTTGTAATTTGCTAAATTCTTCATCTAAATCAAAGTCTTTCTTGCTGCTAAATTTCATACTTACAAATAAACACACAAACTGGTCATTACATGTAAGTAATTAACAATCAATCAAATCACACTTACATACCTGTCACTCACAAACTTAAAAACTGGAGGCTCTCAAGAGCCTGTGTCGCTCACCTGATTCTACTTTGGTTTTGGAAATCATGTAAAAATAGATTAAA